GGAGACCCAAAGCCCATCTATGGACAACGGAACATCCCTTCACAGAGGGGTCGCAGGGAGGGGGTGAGTCAATCAGGGTGCTGTGGAGCACTAATAGGTTACGCAGTATACCTCTGTTCCCTGGAGGCCTCCTCATCCCTCCACCCCCACCCCTACCATCACGACCTCAGTGCCGCCTCCCAGTCTAGACTAGACGGGAACATGTCCATACGTATAGGTACATAAGTGTATTTCTTAATTTTTATGAAAATGTTTCTTTTAAGAAGTCTTAGGATCAACATCTCTTGATTTTTTTCTTTTCACAACCATCAAGTCAATTCTGACTCATAGCAACCCTATAAGACAACATAGAACTGTCCCAGTAGGTTTGTGAGACTGTAACTCTTTATAGGAGTCGAAAGCCTTATCTTCTGGAACAGAGTACCTTGGTGGTTGCCAACTGCTGGCCATCCAACTCATCTACTAAGCTGTGGTGTATGTTGTTGTGTGACCTTGGGTCCTTTCAGGCTTGGAGTGGTCCTATGGGGCAGAGCAGGACTGCCTGTCAGTAACTCAGGCTGCTATCTCTACTGGACCAGATCACCAAGCCCTCCCCCTCCTCCATCCCGCCCAAGGTTGCTGTGGGTTTGAACTGTTATCTTTCAGTTCACAGCTGAGCACCTACTGCCAGCCCGCCACTTAATCTTGTGCAATGTATAAGAAATATCTTGAAAGCCAGTAATAAAAATAAAATGAGCTACTGAAATGATAGAGAAAAGATACTTACTGCATTCCAAAATCCAGAGCTGCTGGCTGAAAATGCAAGCCCTTTCCACTGAACAGCTTGTCTGAGAAGCTAAAAAAAGAAAAGAAAACAGAAATTTACTTTTGCTGTAGTTTCAAAAATAGAATATTAACACCTCGGTTAATATGGCCCTCGGTGCATATGGGAGACGCAGTGTTAACTCCTTAATAAGTAGAAACGTGAACTAACATTTACACTGAAATGGGGGTGGATTTAAATTTTTTGGACAAGTAGAGATATGTTAGGCTTGATTCTTGGGTGATTTCGGATGTGACAATTTTCATAAAACCTAAATCAATGCAAGACATACAATTAAGATGGGTTTTTTACTAGGGGTGGAGTTAGAAGAGGGGGAGAGTAACTGAATCTGCTACCACAGAAAACGATGGGATAACACAACGAGGGTAGTTCTTGAAGACTGGATACATCACCAGAACCTGTACTCTGAAGGACAATTACGTAAAATCTCATACCATCCTTAATCATTATTGTGATTTCATTCTTCTTCAGGATCAAAAGCAACAAATCTACATATTAGGAAACCATACCAAAAACTCATAAAGAATATACATCTTGAAAAGCATAAAGATATAAGAAAAAAATTTATTTAATAAACACACAATATAGAGAAAGGATATATATCAAGAAAATGCCAAACACCGTGACATCTTAAAAGCCATAACTGGACGGGGAAGCTCGGAAGCCTCCCCATAACCACTGACCAGGAGTGGTTCAGAGGGGCACCCAAAGGCGGGGGGCATGTGGCTTTGTGGCCTCGAGCAAGCCCCTCTTCCAAGGTGTCAATTCTGTTTCTTGAAGATGCACACAGTGCAGAAGCCTGAGAAAAACGCACTGCCACCGAGTTGCTTCTGACTCATAGTAACCCCATAGGACAGGACAGAACTGCCTCCGTGGGTTTCCAAGACTAACTCTTTATGGAGTAGAAAGCCCCTCACTCTCCCCTCGAAGCAGCTCATAACCCACTGCCACCAGGGCTCCTTTAGAGAGCAGAGAAACCCCTCCCAAAGTCCTGACCTGACGGAAGTTCTAGTGGCAAGTTTCCCTCCTGCCCTCTCCTTTTCTGCCTCCATCCTCATCCTTTGTCAAAAAACCCTTTCTCTAGTATCTGTTATCCGTATCTCCTTTATTCCTTCTCTAAAGTCCCCTTGAGTAGTCGGCCCCACTCCAGACTCACTATCCTGGCTGGCCGTGAACTTGAGTGGACAGGATGAATGCCATTTACTAGACTTCCACAAACCACAAAAGGGAAGACTCATCTACAACGTGTTTTGCAAAAGCCACTAATGGACCAAACACCTCCGGAAGTGCTGTAAAGAGCCACAGGTATCAACAAATGCAAAGAAAGGGGCAGAAGCAGGCAGACCCACCGCGGGCTACCCACCTGCAGACAGACTGAGAGGGCTAGCTGGGGTGCAGCAATGCCTGGGGTGCAGCAATGCCGCATGGCAAGAGCTCTATCTTTTAAAAGCCTGGATACCGTGGAAGTAATATATAACAAAATTGAGGACAGTCTTCCTCAACTCCCTGCACTGAAAACTGACTTTGTCATCGTTAGATGTAAATATGCTGAATCTGGATGAATGGATAAGACTAGGAGTGTTTTTAAAGTGAACTGCCAAACACCCCATCGCTATCAGGTGGTAGAGCCAAAATTCAAGCCCATGTCTGTCAAAGTGAGAAACTGTGACCCCCACACCTCATTCAGGCAGGGTACTGCATGACCTAAGAGGGAGAGGGTACCAGCCATCCTGTACGGAATGGGCACAGCGTCAGACTCCAGGCCTACGTCCTAGTCCTGCATGAGTAGGGCATTTAAACAAAGAAGAGCCTCACTGCCATATAGTCAATGCCAACTCATACCCTGTTTTCCCGAAATAAGACACCCCCCGAAAATAAGACCTACTTACAGTTTTGCCTCTCGCTGAAATATAAGGCATCCCCCCGAAAATAAGGGTTTGGATTGTTATGATGATGTTCCAGAAGATGATGACATGACTGTCATTGAATAAATGAGTAAATGTACCACAGATTGTTGTACATGGAAATAATGGGAGTAACAAGAAATTCTTGATACTGTAGGATTCACAGTTTGTCTGGTTATGCT